TGCCAACAAAGGTCCGTATAGTTCAAGCCCTGGTTTTCCCAGTCGTGATGTATGGAAGTGAGAGCTGGACCATAAAGAAGGCTGTTCGCCGGAGAATTGATGCTTTTGAATTCTGGTGTTGGAGGAGACTCCCATGGACTACAAGAAGATCAAACCTATTCATTCTGAAGGAAATCAGCCCCGAGTGCTCACTGGAAGGACAGATTCTGAAGCTGAGGCTCCAAGACTTTGGCCACCTCCTGAGAAGAGAAGACTCCCTGGAAAAAACCCCCATGTTGGGAAAGATGGAGGGCACAAGGAGAAGGGGATGACAGAGGACGAGATGATTGGACAGTGTTCTTGAAGCTACCAGCATGAGTTTGACCAAACTGCGGGAGGCAGTGGAAGACAGGAGAGCCTGGCGTGGTCTGGGGGGTCACGAAGAGTTGGACACGACTAAACGACTCAACAACAACAACATCCCTCTGAAACCTCCCAGTCTTCTCCTGGAAAAGGTGGTTTTGAGAGAAACAAACCATCTTGAGTCCCTTCTTCAAAAGGCAAACTTTCTAAGTCCTTCCAAATTCAATGGGAGATGTATAGGGTTGTGCTGTGATGTTTTTAAAACGATAAAAGAGTTGAGTTTGCAAATATTTGCTGCGCTAGGCTCTGCTTCCACAGCTGGAGGCAGCGGTGCTTCTGAATACCAGATGCTTTGAATCGCAGGAGGGGAGAGCTGATCTCATTTTGATCTATTATTTTTATTTCATAAAATTTATACACTGCTTGGTTGTAAAAAAAAACAACAACCCACCAAAACTCTCAAAACGGTTTACAAAAACAAGAAAAACTTTTAAACAAACCAAAGTTAAAATAGTACAGTCATACCTCATGTTACGTTTGCTTCATGTTATGTTTTTTCAGGTTGCGTGCTGCGGCGATCCGGAAGTACTGGAAAGGGTTACTTCTGTGTTTCGTTGCTTGCGCATGCGCACAAGCACTAAATCACACTTTGTGCATGTGCACAAGTGCCAAATGGCGCCATGCACCTGCGCAGATACAGTGCTTCAGGTTGCACACTTTTCATGTTGCGAACGGGCCTCTGGAACGGATCCCGTTCGCAACCAGAGGTACCACTGTATAACAAAATTCTTGTGCTTGAGTCCTGCTTGTGGGCTTTTTCCCATTGGGGCAGCTGGTTGGCCGTTGTGAGAGATGAGCCACTGGCCTGATCCAGGCAGCACTATTTATATTCTTATTTAAAAGGAGGTCAGAAAGAAGAGGTGGAATGCTCAGCTGAAGCTAAGAGGAATGGGCCCAAGCCAGAGGGAGGCAGATTTGGGTTCCATAGGAGGATTCCTAAGCACATGGACAGGAAGGTCTTCCCTGTAACGGAGTTTCTGCGAGAGAAGCCAAAGGAGCTATCGCTTGGGGCATCCCTGGGACGCAAACATGACAGTCTTGAGACAAAGGGCTGGACCACAAGAACTCACCTTTGCTTCTTGGATTCAACATCCAGGGACCCACTCCTGGGGAAAAACAGGAGAAAAAGGGAGAAAGCATTGAGGAAATCCGGCACCATAAAAAGGTAAAGGTAAAGGGACCCCTGACCATTAGGTCCAGTTGTGGCCGACTCTGGGGTTGGACGCTCATCTTGCTTTATTGGCCGAGGAAGCCGGCGTACAGCTTCCGGGTCATGTGGCCAACAGGACTAAGCCGCTTCTGGCGAACCAGAGCAGCGCACGGAAATGCCGTTTACCTTCCCACCGGAGCGGTACCTATTGATCTACTTGCACTTTGACGTGCTTTTGAACCGTAATACCCAATAAAAAGGATTCTGGTTTTGGGGATTGGAAGGATGGATTTAACATTATTTGAAACTGCGTGTGTGTGTCATTCCAGAAAGTTTTGAACTTTTTACAAACCCACCACATGTGGAGTATTGTTCCACCTGATTCTCCGCATCTCCAACATATATTAGGGACAGTTTTGTACATTTTGGAGAGTTTTGAAGGGGTTAAATAGCTTCCCCATCTCAATAGGCAGGGAGTTCCCGAGAGGAGCTATTATTCTCATCTCCATATTGGAGAACAGCGGCAATGAGGGAGGAAGAGGGAGAGAGAGAGAGAGAGAGAGAGAGAGAGGTGAAAAACAGCACTTGGTTCGTGAGCTTGTGTTGGTGGGAGGTTTGATCCTGGGGGTTTTCGGCTCACAGCTCCTGCTGTCACCTCCTAGGCCACCTTGGCCGTGCTCCTGCTGAGCATATGGGAGGGCACGTGCTCTGCAGCCGGCCAGCACCCACACCAGGGCCCATTCCGTCCTGCAAAGGAAGGGCACTGCACCCTGGCCGGCTGCTTCAGTGTAATGCCAAGGCTTGGCCAGAAGGAGGCAGCCTCCTTTCAGAGTCAAGAGCGAATACCTATTATTCCTTCATTCATTTTGTTCATTCATAAAATTTATACACCACTCGATTCCAAAAACAACAACGTCAAAACATATCACAAAAAGACAAAACAAGAAAATGAAGAACCCTGGTTTAAAACATAACAAGAAGTTAAAATGCTAAAAGAGATTAAAACTGGGACATCTGTCTAATCCTCTTTTAAAGCCATCCAGGGACTTCTTGAGAAAGCGAGTTCCAAAGTTCAGTGTACTCTGCCTCTTAGCCCCCTTCTAGGTAGTCCCGCTGCCCTTGAGGGGCTGCTATAGTCCACTTTGGGTACCACTGGACTAGCATGTCAATGCCCGGCTTGCCCAACACCACAAAAGGTTGCCCACATTCCTTCTAAACTCCAGGTGTGCTCTATGGCAGAGGTGGATGCACGGCACAGGGGAGGCAAGATCCCCTCTAGTTGGAGCAGGGAACCGATTTGGCTGGGAAGCCAGATGTTTAACTCCTCCACCAGCCAAGTTTGGCAGGTGAGCACCTGCCAATCTCCTAGCATCACAATGACTGTCAGGCGAATCATTTCCTTTCCCTGCACATTTAAAAAGCAATTTCCCTGGCAATCTGCTGGCCTGGAGTGCCTGCAAGGCCTCATTTTGGGGGAACCAAAATTTGTATTCCGCAGCCAGAATGGTATTTGCCCTGAGGTGGAAGGAGGATCTTGTTCCAATCAAGAGATTAAATTGATGGATTATGCCAAAATGGCAAAATAAATGGGTGTGGTAAGAAACTAAGAGGAATTATTTTTATTTTTATTAAAGAGTGGAGAACATTTGTGGAATATTTGAAAAATCATGGCATGCAAGTAAGGTCATTAGTAAGGTCAACTCAAATCAAGCAGTTAAAAGTATTATCAAGATTAATTGTAGAATAACTTTAAAATGGAATAAAGTGGGAAAATGTAGTGTTAAATATTTAAATAAGATAAGAAACCACAAAAGGGTTGGGGCGGGAAGACTAATATGTATTTGTATTGGAAGTATGTGATGGTAAGGTGCGTATTTGTAATTTTTTGAAAACTGAAATAAAATTTATAAAAATAAAATAAAATAAAATGGGGAAGTCCTGCTGGTGGAGCCCAGCTGGCGTTGACCTGTGACAGGGTCTTTTTAGTGGCGGTCCCAATGCTGAGTTGGAATCGCCTTTCACGTAATGGATTCACAAGAAAGGAAATTCCATCTCAACTTCGGGAATAACTTTCTGATGGCAAGAGCTGTTCGACATTGGAACGGACTTCCTCATAACGAAAATTTTAAAAACAATTACTAAACCATAAAGTGTCATCTTACAACAGTCTTGTGAGCATCAAAGCAAGCTCAGAAAATTTTTTACATTACAGATTAAGCTCACATCCACAGGGCACACTTCAATCTAAATCATTAAGATAATTTCTCCATAATGGCTGCTAAATTACAGTATTATTGGTAATAAGCGAAGTAAATCGAGAACATATGGATCAAGCCAATCTTTCTTTGTTCTTCCTCTTACCATCCTCTGATGATGAGTTTAAGCACCACTTAAGCACTATATTCCACACTTGGTGGGTCCAGGTTTTGAAGGCGTGTGTGGGGCTGCCCGCCCCCCAACTGGAAGCAACGATCGTATTTTTCTGTGTATAACACGCCCCTGTGTATAAGATGCTCCCTATTTTGGGGGACTCCAAATTGAGAAAATGGGGGGAGATCGCCCAGAGTTGTTGAGTTTTTTGGGGGAGAGGATTGGCCACAGTTTTTGAGCTTTTTTTGGGGGGGGGGGTTGCCTAAAATCACTCACCCGCCTGACCAACGCTGACAATAACGAGCGCCGCTGAAGCCACCAATCGACTGCCCAATCACCGCCAGCAGCCGTCAATCGCATCCCCAATTGCCACAGCGTTAGCCTATCAACAATTGCAGCAGTCACCAATCACCCGCCCTTTCGCCGATGACAATCACCTGCTCGCGGCAGCAACCAGTCGCCAGTCCACCCTCTGCACTCTCCGTGTTTAAGATGACCACAAATTTTCCACGTCATTTTCTAATAAGAAATCCTCGCCTTATACACAGAAAAATACGGGATTTGTCTCACTGCTAAGAAAGAAGACCCGCGGTTTATCGCGACATGTGGATTGATAACGTTTTACACTGACAGCTGTGCTAGCAGAGGATCAGGTAAAAGATGTTGCCCTGTTATTATGGAGGACAATGAAATCCCACCCCGATAGATAGATAGATAGATAGATAGATAGATAGATAGAGGTTACCAGATTTTTTTCCCCAATGAATCTGGGGAACTTTAACTAACTAACTAATTAATTAATGAAATAAATACTCCCCGTTCTGGACGTTGATGCTGCAGCGATGGCGGTGGCAGAGGGGCGGCGGCCGCCTTGACCTCAACCGCTACCTTTCCCCTTCCTCTGAGGCTTCTATCTCCTTTCTCATGAGCCTAGGCAGCCCCGGAGTTGTTGGTTCTTCGGTGGTGGGTCAGGCATGGAAGGCATAGAAGGAGGGCCGAGAGCGGTGGTGGCGGAGAGGCTCAGGCAGCACAATGCCTCCCTTCCCATTGGAGTAGCCCCAATCCCATTCCTACTTGTGTGCAAGCGGGAGGGGGCAGGGATCTCTCAGCTGGGAAGGGAGGCTTCACGCTGCCTGAGAGATCCCTGCCCCCTCCTGCTTGCATGCAAGCTCCATTAGGCAGCATGACGCCTCCCTTCACAGCTGAGAGATCCCTGCCCCGCTCCTGCTTGCACGCAAGTAGGAGTTGGGATCAGGGCTGCTCTGGTAGGCAGCATGAAGCCTCCCTTCCCAGCTGAGTCGCTGGGGTCAGGGAAGGTGGAGGCAGCCCGGAAGCTGCATCTTTGAGCCCCTGCATCACCATCAGATGGGGACTTCTGAGCAGCTCCTGAAGCCAACCAGAGGCAACTGCTCCAGGCTGCTGAGACTGCCGCTGATGTGTTTCCTGGGGACATTAGATGAAATCCGGGGAAATTCCTGGGATGGAATTTCTCCAGGGCCTTATTCACAAATCTGGGGACTGTCCCGGGAAATGAGGATGTCTGGTAATCCTAAAATAGATAGATGATAGATAGATCCTCAATCCCAAACTACTTTCTAGCTACCACCTCCCTCTTCTGACTCTCAGGAGCAGCAATGATTGGGGGGCTTCTCCTGTGCCTTGAAGGGAAGGGGGGGGGCCTCAGCTCACTTCCTTCTTCCTATAGGCTGTCTGGGCCAGGATTCAGCCCCAGAAAGGCAGATGAAGATGATGGACTATATGGAACTTGCCGAACTGACTGCGAGACTCCGAGACCAGAGAGAAGAGACAGTGGAAGAAGATTGGATGGAGTTTAAAGAATATTTGAAAAATATGTTAATATTTAAATCTTAGAATAGCTTTGGAAGTGGATATAGGCTGTAGGGTTAGAAGTAGAAGATAGTGTATTTTAAAATAGTATTATTTGTGAGTGATAAAATGTGAAGATTTTTATGGTAAAAGTAAGCGTGATAAAAAAAATGGTTAAAAATTATGATATATGTAAACTGCTAAAGATGAGGTAAACTGAATATCAGATGGGGAGACTTGGGGCAGTCCACCTAACAATGTTTAGAAAAAATAAGGATAAGACAAAAACTCATTTGTATTGTTTGTTTTTCTGTTTTTGTTGTTTAGTTGTGTTATACAATGAATAAAAAAAATTGGGGGGGGAGGAGTCAACCCCAGCCAGACGCTCCCTTCTTGAAGAACGCCACAAGAGATCTTCCTGCTGGGACCCTGGAGCTGCTGCTGCTGTTGTTGTTTAGTCGTTTAGTCGTGTCCGCCTCTTCATGACCCCCTGGACCAGAGCACGCCAGGCCCTCTTGTCTTCCACTGCCTCCTGCAGTTTGGTCAAACTCATGCTGGTAGCTTCGAGAACACTGTCCCACCATCTCGTCCTCTGCCGTCCCCTTCTCCTTGTGCCCTCCATCTTTCCCAACATCAGGGTCTTTTCCAGGGAGTCTTCTCTTCTCATGAGGTGGCCAAAGTATTGGAGCCTCAGCTTCACGATCTGTCCTTCCAGTGAGCACTCAGGGCTGATTTCCTTCGGAATGGATCGGTTTGATCTTCTTGTAGTCCATGGGACTCTCAAGAGTCTCCTCCAACACCAGAATTCAAAAGCATCAATTCTTCGGCGATCAGCCTTCTTTATGGTCCAGCTCTCACTTCCATACATCACGACTGGGAGCTACCCCTCACTTTTTTAATAGGGAGGGAGTGTGACTTTGGGTTCTTTACGGCTTGGCTAACTGTGTCGGAAAGGTGCCAGAGGGGCTTCAGCTCCCCTTCCCCCCTCCCGCCCTGCGGTGGACTTGGTGGGTCTGGAACTGTCCTCTCGGTTACTCCACCCTTCTGGAATGTCGGGTGGAGACATCAGGGGCCCCCGCCTCCCTTTCCGTCCAGGCAGCACTTTCCCCTTCGTCTGGAAAGACACAAATCTTTCTTCTTCTTGGTGAGTATCGATTTGGACAAAGCAATGGAAAGCCGCGTGGTGTGTTTTTTGGGGAAGGGCCTCCCAGCCAGCCAGCCAGCAAGGTTTGGAAAAGAACGCAGCATTTGCAGGGCAGGAGAACACAAAGTCAGAATGGAAGGAGAGGGAGGGGAGCCAGCCAGAATTGCTGTATCTAACCTGTATCTCCCACCCCTTTGGGCCCACCCCATCCCTCTACTCTGCCTGCATTAACTGAGAAATGGGTCCAAGTGTGGGAAGAGAGCTGCCCCGGCCTGGACGTTCCTTTGATCCACGTTACCATCACAGAGGAGGCAGACCACGGAAATGAAGGGTCTGAAAACAAAGACTTAGGAGGAATACTTCTGGAAGTTGGGGATGTTTGGGCTGAAGAAGAGAGGACCGAGAGAGGACATGAGGATACTGTTGGCATCCCACTGTCTCAGGAGACGAGGAAGGAGTGTGTCTTTGGAGGTGAAGACCAGCTGCTGGGGAGTTATAGCACCTGCAGTGGCTGTAGAGACCAATAAGGGAGAGACATGTTTCGTTGCAGCTGAGGCAGAGGAAGGTGCCCGGTTGTGCTGCTGCAGATGCACCAGGGCGTTTCTTCTCTTTTTGCTCCTCACAGCGGTCATTCCTCCTCTGGATGGAGGAATGCACTGTTGATGGATGCACTGTTAGAATTCCTGCTCCATGACTGCAGTCATGGGATTGTTGTCTTTCACATGACGGTGTATGTTTTGACTCCACAGGATGGGAAGTGACGGAGGCAGGATGTTTGTGTTACTGTGTTTGTGTTACTATTGTCCTTTGTTCTTTGCTCTTTGCTGTCTGATGCTAGAGAGAGAGGGAGCCATGTTGCAGTGCTCCGTGTGTGTTTATATGCAAATAAAGTAGATTAGCCAAAATGCTGAGTTGCTGAGGTCTGTCACACGCAAGCTGCGAAGACTCTGTGGATCCCTAAGTGTGTCGGTGTCTGTTGGCATCGGTCGCTATGATGTTTGGGCAGAAGAAAGCTTTTGAAGCTCCCGAACGATCGACCAGGAGGGAGGGAACATGCCAGTCGGGCATGTGTCTCTGCCAGGGTCCTACTCGAGTGTAGGCTGAACTCCTGACATGTAAAACCTGATTGTCTCCTGGCTCTGCAAGGGATTCCCACACAGCAGGGCCTTCATGTCATGTTTGCAGACAACTTGGTCTGCTGGCAGGCCTGGTGCCTGATGCCATCTCCTTGGGGATCCTGAGAGCCATCTTCCAATAAAACCAGCATGTTTTCTGTTTCTCCAGAGGGTAAAACCCGAATCAATGGACTCAAAGGACACAAAATGAGATTCTGACTAACCGTTAGGAAGACGTTCCTGATGATAAGAGTTGTTATCAGACTCCCTTGGAAGGTGGTGGCCTCTCCTATGTGGGAAGGTTTTAAGCGGGGGGGGGGCCATCTGTCAGGAAGTCTTAGCTGTGATTGGGCTAAGGGGGTTGGGCTAGATGACCCTCAGGGATCCCTTCCAACCGTACAATTCCGTGATTTTATGAACACACGAACTAATCTGCCATGCTGCACACCAGCTGGAGGTGGGTTCTTAGTTGTGGCGCAGGTACGCAAGGCCCCGATCCCTTCCACAGACCCAGAGGCCTTACCTGTAGGAAGTGATGTATCTGGTGGGCAGGAAGGTCTCGACGGTGGAAGCCCAGAAGCAGGAAAGGTCCTCGTAGTTTGATGCCGTGCACAAGATGGAGGGCTTCCCTGGCAGGCCTGTGGGAGAAGCAAGGTGCGGCTTGGAATAAGGGCGCAACCAGGGCAGGGCGCATGTCTGGTCTTCCTCCAGCGGCTCCCATCTCCTGCCTAAGTTCAGGCGAGGCCCAGCTGCCCAGCTCTAGCATCCCAGACCAGCCCTTTCCTCCTGGCAAAAGCTCAAGGCCAGCCCAGCAATCGGGGAAGGGCCACAGCTCAGTGTTAACAGCATCTCCAGGGTTCTGTTGGTGTGTGAGAATCTAGTTTTGGGTTGTCATTTCTTTCCGCAGCAGAGTTCCTTTTACAGAAAGGTTTTCCTGCATCTTTTACTTCTTTACAGCATCAGCATTCTAGCCATCTCTTAGCAAAATTCCCATTACAGGGGGGAAAAAAATTTGGTTCTGTTTCTCAGAATCTTTATTACAGTCATACCTCGGGTTACAGACACTTCAGGTTGCGTTTTTTTGGGTAACGGACCCGCCAAAACCCAGAAGTACTGCAACGGGTTACTTCCGGGTTTCGGGGGTCGCGCATGCACAGAAGCGCCGAATTGCAACCCGCGCGTGCGCAGACGTCGTTGCAGGTTGCGAACGTGCATTCCGCACGTATCACATTCGCAAGCCAAGCATCCACTGTATTTACAAAACTTTACGCTGGTCATTGGTAAATAAATAGAAACAAATAAAGCAACATAGTTGATCACATGCCCTAATAAAGGGACCTGTTGCTGGGGAAATTCTCCATTGCCTAGCAGCTTCTTCAAGACCATTTTCAAGTTTCTTCCAGAATATTCCGACAGGTTCAATCCTCAGCATCTCTCAAGCTGGGAGAAACACTCTGCTTGAAACTCTAGCCGGTGGAGACAATTCTGGGTTCGATGGGACTTCCTATGTCCCTAACCACCCCATCCTCATTCCCAAGAATTCCCCCACCTTGCCACGAACCTGTGCAGCCCAGCGGCGGAGGAACCCTCTGTGGCACTTGGGGCAGGAAGAACTGCCCACAGGGAGGGATGGGATGGGACGTGCGACACCCATTCCCACCGCCCTCCACTTTTGCTCGCCTGCCTCCTTCCCGTTCTCTCCCCAGGGGGCCGGGCAATTGCACCTGGCTGGGGGGTGCGCTCTGCCACAGTGGCCAGGCCGGGGTGCGTGATCTGGTGTGGCCGCAATCGGGCCCAGCCAGGATTTTGTCAACCCCCTCAGGGATGGCACCTGGGACAACCGCACCCACTGCGCTCCACCTCTGGTGCAGCCGAACCGTAACTTACGTCCGAGACGGAGCACAGTGGAGCTGAGGAGGACCCCGCTGGTGTCGTGGCAGCTGTAGACCCCTTCGGAGGAGAGCTGGGTGTGGGACAGGAGAAGCTGTCCGGCCTGCACCACCGAGTCTTCCGGGAGGACGGGGCCTCCGTTCCACCGCCATTCTACCGAAGAGCTGAAAGCCAGAAAGCTGCAGTGAGGATGCATGAGAGGCAGCGACGTCTTGTCTGCAAACATGCCCTGTGTTCCTGTCGAGGGGCCCAGAAAAT